TCTCTTCCTGTGGCTCCACAGAACTACTGGGTAAGCTGGACACTCCCCAGACCTGCACTCCTACCTGCTGAAATTCTCTTTCAAAATTAGGCACTGATCTACAGCCAAAATTTTAATCGTCGATACAGTGCAGCAGATGAAACTGTATTTCAGTCCTTCTCTTGATCCTGTTTTTTTTTCAGGATATTCATTAGTTCTGCCTCAAATTCCCTAGATTGTGGAAATAATTCTTTCCTTTATTGTCCAAATATGTTTTATGCTTTACACAGAATATTAATACATATGCCATTTGTAGTCATTTTGGGATGGACACAAAACTCCCGTAGTTAAAGTCTTTAGTTAATTAACTATTCATCTGTAAAACAGCCACGGTATTTTCACGATGATTGTTATAGGTCCTAACGTTTATTTAAAAGATGAGAACTAGTGGAATTTTTGAAAAAGAAAAAAAAAACACACCACAAACCCCAAACCTTCACTTATAAATTATCCAAATTCTCCCAAATTGCCATTCTGCTCAGGTTAGTAGAAAATAATTGAACATTGCTGACATTTTATGGAAGACGTGGTCTTCTTCAGATTTGTGCCAAACAGGAGCCAAAGCCCTAAAAACTGTTACCCCAAACAAAATTTATAACCTGTGTTGACACTTTCAGCAGGATGGAGAAACCCTGTGCTGGACTGACACAGGATAAGATGAACCACATATTCTGGGGTTGCAGTAAGAATTTTCTTAATATTCTTTCTTCCGGGGACTAGTGAGGTTCCTGTGGTAAGAGCCAGAGCAGCTGCGCTACTGCCAGCTGTGCTCTGGGGAGGGGAGAGGTACGCTTTCCGATCGGTGTCAAGATATCTTGATATCAGGGTTGAGAAATTTATTAACAAAGGCTTTTGATGACGCTGTCACAACAGCGTGCTCGCTTCTAAAACCCAACAACGCCTTCGTAGTTATCTGATAATAAGAATTTTTGTATTTTGAATGTGAATATAAAGCAAAACAGGTTGAATTCAAGAAATAGGAAACTCATGCTTAGTGAATAAAATATTTTGAAGGCTGATTATGTTTCAGTAAGAGTTGTCAATGCCAGTTATTTAAGAAATTCATAGATTTTTAGGGAAAGGACAAAAATGATCAGCAGCATAACACAAGCCACAGACTTTCAGCTAGTCATCATCTTCTAAACCTTTAGTTGAACAGGAACAAAAATGCCAAGCCTTTTAAAGCCTAATTTGTTTCATACATTTTTATAAACTAGGAAAGGTTTTTATTTAACCCTGACCATCATCATATAATGCATTTTAAGTTGTTACGTACAGGGTAGCATGTTACTATTGTAAAATGTTAACCAAAACATGCAAGCCTACCAAGTTTTTACATGACATTTATTTTTACAACGTAGGAGTGCCCTAGGGAACATTTCTGCTTGAAGGAGAACAAAGGGAGATGGTACGTTCGGGTTGTTCAGTCACACGGGACAACTCGCACGAGGCCAGAAAGATTCATCCAAAGCCACGTAGCAGAGTTACTCCTCCGTCACTGCTGTGTGTGATTCTGCAGGCTCTGAGCTACTTCTGCTCAGCGGCACCTGCAGCTAAAAGAAGCGGGAATCAGTAATATTCTTTTCCCAGCTTTATATACTAGAAGCAGAAAATATCTGAGGTTTTTCATCTGCTCAATTCAATACAAAACATTTAAGAGGGAATAAATCCAAGAGACAGAACTCGTGTATTGCAGCAGCACGAAGACAATGAACACCCCTCACTTTGTCTTTGAACGTGACCGGTGTTGCACAGTTTACCAACAAATCATGAGTTTTACCAACAACGACCTTGCAATGAATGCTGTTGCGCTTAGCAACAAGTGAAAAACATCCTTCAGGAGAGTAAGAACGCGAATGGTTCTGCCCTGGCCAGGTCCCACCTCTGCACGTACCGCACTGGCCGGCCCCAGGGCTCCTGGCACGGAGCTGCTAAGTTGTCCCCCGCTCGCTGCTTCGCACCGTTGTACGGCGTCCTGGCTGCTGGTGGTGAACAAATCCCGTACAGCAGCCTCAAATCGGGCCCTTCGGATGGACGGTGGTATTAAGATATGGAATTAGCCATTAGAGAAGGAATGTCTTACCCGTTACCGTGCAAACCCAGCTGTAATTAAGCATCTGAGTGTGTGTTTATAAAGAGATGTTCTCGTCTGAACGTCCTGGAAATGAACAGCTCTGTTATACGAGTTCCCTCAGACTGAGGAAGTGAGCGAAGGTGACAGGCGGGTGCCACAGCTCTCCTGCAGGCTGATGGCCTCCCGTACACCCCCCGCATCTCAGCTTACCAAATTGCAGGGGTAGGAGGGATCCCCAAATGCAAGACGGCTTCTGTGGTACGCACAGATCAATGAAGTGAAGTAAATTTTCCAGGTAGAGTCCCAGAAGCACATTAGGATTTCGTGCTTCAAGAGACATCCTTGCCTGCCTTTAACACCGAGGACCTCTGCAACATTCCTGTACCTGCCAACAGAGAGTTCGCAGCATTTGTGAATAGTCTGACTTCTGCTATTCTGTTTCCCTTGTATGGGAAGAAGTGTTTCCTGTTAGCTGCAAATTCATTGCATCATTCAAAAAGCACCAGAAGGCAGTTTTGAGGGCTATTTTAGACACATCTTTACATTAAGGGAGGTTGCAGAGGAATATCTTAAGAGTTTTTAGAACCCCTTTTCCTAATTTGTGACGCTTAAATGAATATTAAGCTAAGATCGCAATGCATTTATTTTGCATTTTTAAACATAAATTGGTATCTTCCGAAAGTTAATATGGCATGTAAAAAAAACCTTACTACTTTGAAAAAAAAAAAAAAAAAAAAAAAAGGGGGGGGCAGATTAATTGTGCTTTCAAAGCTGTGCTTTTACTTTGCCCTTTTCGTTCCCTTCCTTGGCCCAAACGTGCATTTAAACAGCCGGAACGACTCAAACATCTCTCCTGGATGTAACCTGGATGACGTGGTGCACTGGCTGCCGTAATAACCATTTCTCGGCACTAACTGCTTGTCCCAGCGCAAGCACTGCCCGCTCGCTCCCCCCGGCTCCTTCGACCGTCCCGAGGCGGAGGAGCCCGAGCTGCATGAACCGCTCTTCCCCCGTCCCCTGCATTTCTGTCGGTTCCAGGGAAAGCCAAGCCCGAGAGGATCTCTTGTTCTGAAGGGCAACCTCTTCCCCCTCGGCTCTTGCTCCACTTCTCCAAAGCAGCAGAGTTTCCTGCTCCGCTGTTTGACTCCATTCGTGGTTTTAACTCCTGTTCTGCTTCCAGAGTTTCGGCTCTTCCCTCGCCCAGGAGCCGCGGGGATGTCCCGCCATCAGCGCTGGGGCTTTGAGGTCTCTGCGGTCTGAAGGCAACTTCAGAGCAGCACACTACCCCGTTGCTCTCTATGTCAAAAAATGCCGAAATTCGTTAACTTCCCAGCCAAACGCTACCATATTTTGGGGAGTTTACTCCAGTTCCTCCGCGGAAAGGTCCGTACTGCCAGCGCCTGCCAGGGGATAACTCCCCCCTTGCCCCCCCTCTGTCTCTTCTCGTTCCCGCGGCCATTCCGAGGGGTCTGGGGTCTCTCTGCACGGATTGTTTGCCCCACGCCGCCCCCCCAGCTCCCCCCCGGCCCCCGGGCCGCTCTCCCGGGGGTT